CATGCTTGCATTTATTGATTTGGTCAAAATCCCTGATTAGCATTTAAAATCCCCTCATACAAATAATTATAAATACAGCCCGTGCATAGTTACTGCAGTAGTATTTTTAATTTCTCCTATACGCTATGGTTAGTGATGTGATTGTTAAATTATTTTTATAAAAAATCTTAAAAAAACATAATTTATATATTAAAAAAAAATCTAAAACAAATATAAATATCTATAATTATCCCGTGCATAGAACGGGTGATAGGCTAGTATTATATATGTAAAATGGAGTTTCTAACCACAAGTCTTGTGGGAGCTTCAATATCTCAAACTAAAATTTCTAATTTTTTGATTTTAAATAATTAAAAAAATCCTCTATAGCTTTCATTCAAGCAAAATTACACCCTTTTCAACTTCTCCTATACACTATGATTATTAATGGGATTGTTAAATTATTTTTATAAAAAAAATTAAAAAAAATAATTTGTATATTAAAAAAATATCTAAAACAAATATAAATTCTTATTAAATCAATCTATCTGTCTCTATATATATATTATATAAGTAAAACAGGGTTTCTAACCACAAGTCTTGTGTGAGTTTCAATATTTCAAACTAAAATTTCAAATTTTTTGATTTTAAATAATTAAAAAAATCCTCTATAGCTTTCATTCAAGCAAAATAAATAATAATAATATTAATTAATTAATTAATATCTCTTAATTTATGACTTTCAAATGAAAAGTATATCAAATATATAAAATAAAAAATAAAAAGTACACCAATCCATTTCAAAATTCAAATTTGAGGGGCACTAAATATTGAAAGTATTTTATTAATTTAAATTTAAAATTATAATCATTTATCCCATAATACATAAGTTTTAAATAATGATATATTCCATAATTTATCTCTATACTATTATAATTGCAAAATATTGTCATTTCATTAAGGTTGAAAGTTGTAATTCTTTTTTTTCATTAAGGCTGAAATTTTGCATCCTTTATTAAATTATAAAATAAAATTTCAAATGTAAATTCTTCTTCAAATTATGTTACTACGATTAGAATGAGCTCAATTTTCACATGTGTCATAATATTATTAGTCTAAATATAATTTGTATTAAATACATGTGTTCAAATTATTAATCGCTATTAATTTTTTTTGTTTTAAATTTAAAAATATATATATATCCTTCTAAACAATAAGGACTTTAAACGATAAGGACTTGAACAATAATATTTTTTAATATAATGTTTTTTTTAAAAAAAAGAACAAAACATAAATTTTTTACTATTTACCAAACAAATATTTTAGCTCATTGGAGACGAACATTTTTGTCACAAAATATAATTTTTTTTTGCCGCCAATAAATTCCCTACCTATTACACGATGTCATTGCATATTTCCATTTAATAGGTGACAAATATATTTTTGTCTGGGAATGATAAGTTATGGAAGACGAAAATATTTCATCACTAATAAACACTCTATCATGCAGACAATGTCATTTCATCTTTTTATTAAATGGGTGACAAATATATTTTTGTCCCAGAAGAATAAGTAGTGGGAGACGAAAATATTTCGTCACTAATAACTTCTGATTGATTGCGGGACGAATATATTTTTCGTCTCATAAGGTTAAGTAGTGGAAGACAAAAATATTTCGTCACTAATAATAAATTCTCTGTTCTAGTATTCAAGGAGACAAAAATATTTTATTACTAATTATTTCTCTTTATTAAAATGGCCGTGGTTTTGTGTTTGAGAGCACTAAAACCGTGACCCCAAGAGACACTCTGACCCTTAATTTGTCTCACACTTAAGCCCTTCATACATGCCAGCATTGAAACTATTATCTAAGAAGGCACCCTATGCAAACCCACTATCATTTCTCATAGTGAAGGCCCCTCTTGCACGCAAGCATTTTTTCTCATTGTCTAAACCAACTTTATCCTTTCCATCTAGAAAACTCATTTCAGAAAAATCGAAGGTCAAAACCTCTCCACAAAAAAAAAAAAAAAAAAAAGATAATTAATGTGGCTATTTTTTTGTGACAAAAAATACAAAGAAAAAAAATAATAAAATTTTTTTATTCTTAAAAAATAATAGAAAACATTATCTTGTTTACTATGGAGTTTTCAATATTTAATTTTTAATTTTTAATCTGTATTTTTTTAGTGAACATTTTAAAATATTATAATTTTTTTTTCTTTTTAGATCCCTTTAATTTAGATAAGGGCAAATTGCAGCAATTGCCCCTGTATTTTGGTCCATGTGTCATAAATGTCAGGTGTAATATATTTTTTTTTATAGTAAAATTATAAATTTACTAACTTCGGTGAGTTAATTTCAATCAATTCAGTGATTATTTTCATTAAAAACACTAACAGCATTATCAATGGATCAAATTGACATAAAATTTAAAATTAAGGATCAAAATTGTGCCAATTGAAAATGTAGGTCCAAAATGACACAAAAGACAAAGTATAGGGACCATATGTGTAATTTTCCCTTTAGATAAACTTAAAAATTACAAAATTTATGAAAACACGATAAAAAAATTCACTACATACAAAAAAATATAAAAATTTAGTACACTGACATTTTTTTTTATTGATTTTTGGTTTTTTCATAAATATTGTACGTTTTAAGTATATTTAAATTACGTGTATCTAAAAATAAAAAAAAAAAAAACTCTAACTTGATTTTTTTCATATTATTATTGCCTAGTTTTTGAACTTTAAAATTTTTTTGATTTAAATTCTCATATATTATTTTTAAATGAATTTTCATTTGTCTTTGTTGAAATTTTTTCATATTTTAGTTATTTTTTTTTTATTTTTTACTTTTTAGATGTACAACTAAATTTTTTTTTATAAAAAATGTGACTAAAATATAAAATAAAAAAATACTAAGACTTGCAATTAATTTAAAAATCGTTTTCAAAAAATAAGCCAAATAAACCCTTTAATTTTGTCATAAAAATCAAAAGACGGGGATTTCTCTTGGAGACGAAAATTTTAATTTGGTGAGGAAATGTTTTTGTCACTAAAAGAAGCCAAATATTTGGCGCCACATGCGAAAAATAGGCGCCCAAAATTGGTGATTGGTGACAAATTATTTTGTCTTTAAAAAAAATAAAATTGGGCCTATTATAGACAGTAAAAACTTCCTCACAAAGAGCATATCTAAAGACAATTTGGCTGAGAAGTTGAAGGGTTGTGGACATTCAGGACCATCAAATTTCATCTATCTCGTTTGTTACCTCGGCTCTTTCTCTGGTTTGCTTACCGTTGCAACCCACGGCAGAGGGACCGGCTCTTTGCTGAAGCATTCTTCCACAATCTGATTGGAAGAGACTCTCACGATACACATGTATCTTTCTTTCCTTCCCTTTATTCCCTCCCATTATGAACCCTAGGTTTTTTCTCTGTTATTTTCATTTTGTTTCTGTTGTTCGTATGTTGTTCTGATGGGTCTAAAGTGCTTGGATTTTCTCTGTTCTATGTTAAATAAACTAAGCTATCGGTTTCTCATTGCGAATGAAATAAAATCTGAGCACAAATTTCAAACCAAACCACTCCCAGATTTCATGATAATTTGAAGACCCAATTTTTGGATAGCTTTTAACATGTAAATCACGAAGCTCCCAAGTTAAAACACGACTAAAAGTGAAATCGCATAAAAAAAAATAAAAATTTGTAGGTTATTCTGTACTCTGTCTCTTTCTGTCACTATTTGTTGGAGCTTCTCTATCTTTATTTATTTACTTTTTTTTTCCTAGATGAATTGGAATTGGAGTTAGTCAGTTGTTATCTCATTCAGTGAACTTACTGGGTTTATGGTATTCTTCTGCAATGTGGGAATTATAATTGCAATGGGTGTTTGGTAAGAGAGAGATAGATGAATAATTAAGGCATGTTTGGGTGTCTTCTTATATTTGTTTCTTTTGGGTGTGATATGAATTGTTGTTATTCTTTATCTTGTATCATTGCATTAGGTATTTTTTTTTCTTGGCTGGAATAGTTCTATTTCCATCCTAGGCACACAAACAAACCCACTTTCCTTCCCTCTCTTAAGCCAAGAATGCTCCATCAAATTGTGTGAATGTGAGGTGTTTGTTAAAAGTTGTAAGCCAATTGGGGTTTCTTCCAAATTTAAGTCATACCATGCATGTGTCACTTCGCTTCTAATATGAAAATTCTGATTTGAATCTTTTTTATGAGCTCAAATTTATTAAAACCAAACAATTCAATTATGAGTTGGTTCATGATAAGAATATAATATAACTAATAAGGTGTTTGTCTTTTTAATAGTTTAATTTGTTGAATGAGTTGGTTATTAACAATTTAATATAATATCAGAATAGATAATGAATTCTATGTTTACAAATATTTTAATAATTTGATTTTATACTTGAGATAAATTAGAATTTATTTAAGGATCAACTAAGAAAGAGAGAGAGCCTAATAACATGAAGTATTGTGTCTAGTTCTTTTTTTTCTTTTTTTCCTTGGTTGCTCTTGATTGGTTTGTGCTAATAAGTTTTTTTTGGGTTGCTTCTGCTATTACTAGTTTGTGTTAGCTCAATTTTGATATGAGCTCAAATTTATTAAAACCAAACAATTCAATTATGAGTTGGTTCATGATAAGAATATAATATAACTAATAAGGTGTTTGTCTTTTTAATAGTTTAATTTGTTGAATGAGTTGGTTATTAACAATTTAATATAATATCAGAATAGATAATGAATTCTATGTTTACAAATATTTTAATAATTTGATTTTATACTTGAGATAAATTAGAATTTATTTAAGGATCAACTAAGAAAGAGAGAGAGCCTAATAACATGAAGTATTGTGTCTAGTTCTTTTTTTTCTTTTTTTCCTTGGTTGCTCTTGATTGGTTTGTGCTAATAAGCTTTTCTGGGCTGCTTCTGCTACTGCTAGTTTGGTTTGCTCAATTTTGATATGAGCTCAAATTTATTAAAACCAAACAATTCAATTATGAGTTGGTTCATGATAAGCATATAATATAACTAATAAGGTGTTTGTCTTTTTAATAGTTTAATCTGTTGAATGAGATGGTAATTAAAAATTTAATATAATATCAAAATAGATAATGAATCCTATGTTTAAAAATATTTTAATAATTTGATTGTATACTTGAGATAAATTAGAATTTATTTAAGGATCAACTAAGAAAGAGAGAGAGCCTAATAACATGAAGTATTGTGTCTGCTTCTTTTTTTCTTTTTCTTCCTTAGTTGCTCTTGATTGGTTTGTGCTAATAAGATTTTCTGGACTGCTTCTGCTACTGCTAGTTTGTATTAGCTCAATTTTGATATGAGCTCAAATTTATTAAAACCAAACAAGTCAATTATGAGTTGGTTCATGATAAGAAAATAATATAACTAATAAGGTGTTTGTCTTTTTTATAGTTTAATCTTTTGAATGAGTTGGTAATTAACAATTTAATATAATATCAAAATAGATAATGAATTTGAAATAGTTCAAATATGAGTTGATTTGATTGTATACTTGAGATAAATTAGAATTTATTTAAGGATCAACTAAGAAAGAGAGAGAGTTTACAGACACTCAAATATGAGTTGAACTATTTCATAGACACTACAGACACTCAAATATGAGTTGGTTCTGTGGTAGTTTACTACAGACACTCTATATTTTACATTTAATATAAAAATTTAAACATAATAATATTTATGATAATAATTAAATGATAAAAATTGAAGTACAATTATAAACAAAATAAAAAAAGAATCACAATTAATAGTTTCCAAATTTTAATTAAACTAATCATTTTTTTCTCTCAATTAATTGGGATCCACTTTGTAATTATTATTTTTTTATTTTGTGATATTAAAGATCATAAATATCATATTAAAAAAAAATGATGGAAATCCTAAATATAATAAATTCTATGGATACATATATCCTGTGTAGTGTGAAAAACTATTCAAAGCATCAAAAACTATTCAAGGCCTTGTTGATAGAGATGGAAAGCTTAGCGTGCCTATCCCTCTAGAATTTCGTGCACCGGTAGGGGACTATGCCTCAAAACTAGCCTCAAAGATTGGTGTAGAAGTGCGAATTCGTTTACCAGATCCAAGTGTTCGTAGGTGGAAGTATGTTGATGCCTTCGTTAAGGAGGCGATGTTTCAACGCTTGAATGTAAGTTCATTGTCTACTCTATTATAGGACATTTTACTCATTTTTATAATAGGTTAGAAATCTTAATTATTTATTGTAATTATTTTATTTTTTATAAGAATTATCTATGACTTATCTATTTTTTGCAGGATCAATTTGATTTACAAGGAGACCCTGTTGATATAGAGAAGGCAATGAACACAAAATTTGGTCGGAGATTGAGTAACCATACCTATAGGCTGCACAAACAATTCATGAAGCTGAAGGAGCCTAAAGGGGAGGAGTATGCAAGAAACCACCCACCGAAGAATGTTGATCCTACCAAGTGGATAGATCTTATTAATAAAAAGTGAAACACTAAAGAATTTCTGGTAACCTTTTCATTTTTTTTATTATATCAGCAAAGAAAGAATTTGATTAGAATAGGGAGAGATTTTAAAAAAACTAGAAAGAACACAATCAATTTGTTGTGAAATTCCATATGTATTCTTTTCCCTTTATCTTCTAGGCATGTAAGTGGAACATAATAAAAACCAAATGAGTGGGAAAATGAGAAAGGGAAACTATTAAACATGGATTGGAAGGCTCGCATAATAGGAGATTAATTTATAGTTCCTTAAAGTGCATCTTTCACATCATAGAATAAAGAACTAAGATTTCAGTTTTTGTGATTGTATTAATTTTCTGTTTGTTCTTGGGTTTGGTTTGAAGTTTCATGATAACAATAAGCAACTAGCTAAGTAACTAATATAGGGTATTAAGACAAAACTTTAGATTTGATAGAGTTGTGGAAGAAAGAAAGGATTATGAGTTTGGTATCAGTAATTGTTCCATATCTTGTGAAATGCAAATGGATTTTTTCACAATCTATCTTGTCCATGCTTATATGCCCCCTATTTGTGAACGGTGTAAATTACTCATTTTTCTTTTTTCACCCAAAAAAACCATCTTACAATGCAATCTCAACAAGTCCTCTTATCTATTTTTCAAAGAATTGAATGAAACTAGTGAATAATTTGAAATATCTTTTAAGTTGAAATGATATATAGGAAAATGATAGAGAGGAACAATGCAATTTATTTATTATCAAGCATTAAATTTGTTTTACTAGTGATACATTTCATTGTTATATTGGTTCATTATTCCTTACAGGAACAATCAAAAGCCAACATATTTGTCTTACTAATGATACATTTCATTGTTACATTGGTCATTCTTCCTTATAGGAACAATCAAAGGCCAACATCGCGAACAGAGAAAGGATGTATACAAAACATAGGTGTGGTTCTAAGTCAATCCCTGTTAGAGTAGAAAAACTGGTACGTATCCTTGCACTTTCAGAATTATATTAGATTCTTAGCTTTATTTATTGAATATTTGGTCTATCGAATTAGGCACAAGAAAAGAAGATGCTACCTGATCTAGCAGAGTTGTACAAGGAAACTCACTATAATGAGAAAACACATGAATGGATCTCATCTCAAGCTCAGTGTAATTATGTGAGTATATATTGCAATTTTTATTAACAAAATTTTAGAATACTATTTGTTATAATCTTATTTAATTTTCTAATAATTATTTAATTTTTTTTAATATTTAATAGGAAAATATGATACAGACACAGGCTAATCACCTCTCACAGCCGGGATCAACCCCTCTGACTGCAGAAGAGCTATCAATCAAAGTCCTAAAGCCAAGGTCTGGCTATGTGAAGGGACTTGGCATGAGACCTTCATTCCCTATTAGGAGGACCACTACCATATATGCTAAAACAAATGATTATGTGAAGCGCCTTGAGATGCAAATAGAGACACAGAAGGAACAAATACAAATGCAGAACAATAAAATAGAAGATCTTGAAGAGGGTAAGAAGAAGCGAGGGGAGATAATGGCTGATGTTGTCAACTTTTTGAAGACCAAAGGATTCACTGGACACTTTGGAAGTGGAGGGGACTCATCCACAAGTGGACATACTTCTTGGTAAAATATATTAACTTCAATATAACAAATTTTATAAAAGAATACATGTTTGAAGAGTTAGGAAGTAATGGAAACATGCATATGACATCCAATTTGTACAGGTGCACGGGATGTATAAATTGTGAATTAATCTAAAAAATATTTTTTTTTCTCTATACTTAAAGCTTCAAAAAAGGCCGTCGAAATGCTAAATTATCACACAACTACAGATTTGTACAGGAACCAATAGAAACACCTTAGGAGGAACTAATATAAGTTGTATGAACTTACGGCACATTAATGGGATGCACCATTTGTGAATTAGCCTTAAAATTAATTTTTTGTTCTCATAATCTCAAAAAAAGTCTGTGTACAGGGATAAATTGTATAATTGATCTAATTGTAAATTGATGAGTTACTAATGTTTTTAATCTTTTGTATAATTGATTAATTACTAAAACTTTTAATTTATTTTTTTACAGATTGGATTGGGGTGGCATTTTTGACGTGCAACAATGATGTAATTTGCTTGAATGTTCATTTTTGTTTGATAATGATACACTTTTTGGAGTTACACTAGTTATTGTTGGATTTTTGGTGGAATTGAACCAGTTATAACTTTTCGATATTTTGTGGATATTTCACTAGTTTATTGTATTATGATGAAATTATTTGTAATGATGAATGGATATTTTCATTTTGTTAATTCGTAAATGTGTTGATAACAGGTTAGGTTAAGTTGTGATGGAATTGTTATATTCAACAGGTTTCAACATGAATAGGGTTATATTTGTTGAACTAAACTTTAGACTTTGATAAAATATGTATATAATGTGGAAAAAAATATTATGGAATTACTGACAAAATTTTTCATCCCTAAAGAAGGTTTTTTTTGTCTCTTATTCGGTTTAGGTGGAAGATTAATTTTGTCATGAATTCTTTATTTCGGTGCTAAATAAATTTGTCATGACAAAAAATATTGTTACATTTTGTCACTATTACCCTCAATGTGTGACGAATTTTTTTTGACATTATTTCATCATTTTTAATGATGAATTTGTTTTTATCTCTATTGGTAGCTTCTTTGACAAAAAATTTTCGTCTTCGTTTATATTAAACGTGACAAAATTATTGTCTCCATTTCTTATATTTATGACAAAATACTTTTGTCTCTAATTTCTCCATTAATGACAAAATATTTTGTCGCTAATTACTTACAAGTATGTTCCCAACAGAGTGTATTGGAGACAAAAAAATTCATCACAAATTTATCATTTTTAATGATGAATTTATTTTTGTCTCTATTGGTAGCTTCTTTGACAAAATTTTTTTATCTTCGTTTATATTAAACGTGACAATTATTTCGTCTCTATTTCTTATATATATGAAAAAATACTTTTGTCTCTAATTTGTTTCTTTAATGACAAAATATTTTGTCGCTAATTACTTACAAGTATGTTCCCAACAGAGTATTGGAGAGAAAAAAAATTCGTCACAAATTTATCATTTTTAAAGATGAATTTGTTTTTGTCTCTATTGGTAGCTTCTTTGACAAAAATTTTTCGTCTTCGTTTATATTAAATGTGACAAAATTATTTCGTCTCTATTTCTTATATTTATGACAAAATACTTTTGTCTCTAATTTCTCCTTTAATGACAAAATATTTTGTTGCTAATTACTTACAAGTATGTTCCCAACAAAGTGTACTGGAGACAAAAAAATTCGTCACAAATTTATCATTTTCAATGACGAATTTTTTTTTTCGTCTCTAAGACCCTTTAGCGACGACCCTTTGGCGACAAAACGGGTGACAAAAAATGTTCGTCGTAATTAGTTTGGGTGACGAAATATATACATTTTGGGACAAATTTGTTTCGTCTTCAAATCCCAAATTTGTTGTAGTGTGTCGCCGAAAGCTTTGCCAATGATGGTCACCGCGGTCATCGGCATCGGAAAACCGACAAATCAAACTCGGAATATCTAGCATTCCGTCACAAATCAAAGACCAAGCGTCGTGCATAGTAAGTCCACACATTCGACCTAAGGCTTGGGCGTGGCCGAAGCGGAGGTGGGGCAAGATTTCTTCGTTGCGCTCGGATTCCATCAAAGCTTGGAAATTTTCAAAGGTAGGACACACCTCTTGCCCGCCAAAGCTAAAGACATGAGTTACCGGATTCCAAAACCTTGCCGCGGCATGGAGAAATGGAAAGTGCAACGGAGTACGACTCAGCGTGAATAGTGCATTTCCGCCAAAGCCCCGAAAATTCAACTTTTCCAAGCCATCCAAGTTGGTAATCCAAGTTGTGAGATTTTGGGTAAGAAACTCTTCCATTTGGTGCAAATCAGTGTTGAAATGAGGAAAACTATGAAGCTGAGGCTTTTGTACAAGATAAGGTGTTGAGTGGAAGACAAGGTCAACATTCTGGAGGTATTTACCATTTTTGGCCGGTCGACCAAAAGTAGTGTCGACCGACCATCTGTTTTGGCCGATCGGGTAAAATGTTGGCCGATGCCCATTTGTTGTGGCCGGTGATGCCTCCCTTTGGCCGATGGCCTCTACTTTGGCTCTGGGTTGAATAAATGTTAAGCATGCTGAAAACTGGTGACTGACACCACTTCCAATGCCTTCTGATGATGTTTTTGCGAACTAGCGCCTGTTACTTCGATTTATTTATCGAGTTGTTGTACATCTGTTTATCGCGTTGTGTTTTACATTCTTTAAGTCTTTGCTTTGCTTATCAAGTTGTATTTACAGTTGGTTAGCTTATTGAGTTCTTTGTTTTGATTATCGAGTTGTTTTGTCCTTACTCAGTTCACTACCCGATTATTACAAGGCAAGTGCTTACTTTTCAAACAAAGGTTCAAATCTCATTTACATTGTTATGTAATGTGGTGTGATGCGATGCATAAAATGTAACACTTTTTGAACAAAATAGCTGTTTCATTTCCATAATGTCTTTTGCAAAAAGTACGTAGTTTTGAGAAAGTAAAACCTGCCTGAGGCAGTACAATGTGCTTAAACTACTAGTAAAAAACGAAAAAGTAAAGCGAAAGGGGGATGAGGCAGCAAAATGTCTAGTTTAATACCGGTGGCCTCCCCTAGTGGTCGAGGCGCCTCCCACCCCCTTGTTCGGGTCAATTATGTGGTTTGGCACCTTCATCACTCAAGACAGTACAAGAAAGTGCACTTTTGAACCTTAATAGACCTTCGTGTTGACCTCGAGCCGTGTCTTCTATGAGCGATGCCCGGTACGTGTGGGGAGTATCCTTTCTCGTATCCTTTTTGTATCTTGCGAATTCCATAAATCGCCTCAATTCTGTCGTATTACGTTGCTTTAGCACGCTCGTTATGCATCTTGCATTGAATGATGTCTCGTCTTGTTTTGAAGTTGCATCTCAACATCATGAATAACATGCCTTTACCATGCTTTAGTTGAATTTGCACCCCTTCTCCCCTCTCGCATTGTTACACACATTGCATGCGTTTTCGCGTATGCTTTACTTACATGTGTTTATGCACCCTTCTCGCATTGTTACACACATTGCATGCGTTTTTGCTATGCTTTACTTACATGTGTTTATGCACCCCTTCTCCCCTCTCGCATTGTTGCACACATTGCATGCATTTTCGCGTATGCTTAACTTACATGTGTTTATGCACCCTTCTCGCATTATTACACACATTGCATGCGTTTTCGCATATGCTTTACTTACATGTGTTTACGCACCCTTCTCGCATTGTTACACACATGGCATGCGTTTTCGCGTATGCTTTACTTGCATGTGTGTAACAACCCTCGTTACTGTTTACCGATAAACACTGATTACCGTTAAACTGAATTGATTATGACTGATAATTGGACTGGTAAAAGTACTGAACTGGCTGACTGAAATTGGAAACCAAATTGATTGAATATATGTTAATTAAATTTCATTATATCTGTTTGACTGTATGATTATCTGTTCATGCTTATATGTTTAAACTGCTAATTGAAGGCCTTATCGGCGGCCGAATTAGAAACCGATTAATGTTTTATGATCGTCATGATTAATGTGATTTTATGGTGTATTTACCTGAAAAACTGATTAGGTATGATTAAATTAGATTAAAATAAGCTAATTAAAGAGTTGGACTTAATTACCAAATTGCCACACTTAGTGGCCCACTCAATATAACATATTTGAGCCTCATTACACTTCATTCAAAACATTTCCTCAGCTCATTTTGAGAGCATAACCGAACTAGAGAGAGAGAGAGGAGATAACTTGATTTCATTGTGATTTGGCTTAGAGAACTTGAAGATTTGAAGTGTAGATTGCCCATTTGAGCTTCATTTCTTGAACTACAAGACCTAAGGTAGTGTAATTACCCTCTTGTTATGAATTGAGCTTGTTCTTGCATGATTCATGTCAAAAGTAGTGATTTGAGCATAGAACTAGCTTAAGTTGTTGAAATGAAGCTTAATTGTTGCATGCATGTTTATATCGCTAAGTTTTGAGGTTGTAGTTCATAATTCCTCACATGCATGTTCATGTCTTGAGAGTAGATCATGAATTCATCATGTTTTTGGAAGTTTAGACTCATTTGAACTTACTTTGGAGCTTTGAAGTTGATTAAAGCCATGCATGTCACATTTGAGTTGTTGTTCTTGAAACTTGGTTTGAAATCATGTTTAATTGAACTACCTTTGGGCTTTGATTTCTCAAATTGATCTTTGAAACATGTTATACTATGAGTTTCGAAGTGTTTTCCAGAAAATTAGCCCAAAAGGATCGAATTTGATGCATTGGAACTTGATTTGAGCATTGGAGTTCAAATCTGGATTTTTCCAGATTTCGCACTTCCGCTCGAGCGGGGGAAGTGCCGCTCGAGCGTGGAATTCGAGCTCCCAGCATCTTGCACTGTTTTACAGTCCGCTCGAGCGGAGTAATGTACGCTCGAGCGTAGACCTTTGTCAGCATGTCCGCTCGAGCGGGGAAATCCACGCTCGAACGGGACCTCTGATTTTCTAAAAATGTTTTCTGAGTGCATCTTTGCATCCTCATCCCATTCTAGGCATTCCTAGGCCTAGTTTAAGACATCTTAATGAGGATATAGATGTAGAGCACACCAAGACAAATTAGGGGTTAAGTTATTATCTTTTCCAACTGTGTAGCTTAGTGTGTGTTCGATCTGTTGACTGTGTAGGGTTGACTTCCGAGGAGACGCTCTAGCTTACTATAGCCCAGAACTCTGTGAGTAACATTTGTGTAAAGATATGTTCAAAATGATTATCTTCTGAACAATTAAACTAAACTGTTTCTGAACTGTTATTGTTAACTGAATGAATGAATGTATGACCTATATTCTAAACTGTATTGTGGCATCCTTAGCAACTACTGCTTACTGTTACTGTTACAGAGATCTCTCTCGGTTCCCATGTTGGAACCACTACTGTTTACTGATATGATGGCCATCATTCACTGTTTGGTCTATTAAGACCTGGTCTGTTAAGACCTACTGTACTGTTTAGCTATTGGATGTACCACATATGACTGTTATAATCTGTGAAACTTGGAGCAAAGTGCTGCACGGAACTAAGTGCTACAGAGTGAGCCACCTCTAGAGTCTGTGCGAGACACCTCTTGAATCCATAAGAACTGTACTGTTTTCTGAAATGTTACTGTACTGCTACTGTACTGTTACTGTTACTGTACTGCTACTG